TATTGTATTATATTAAATATAATAATAAATATATATTATATTGTAATTATATATATTATATTATAGTATAATATAATATAATTGTTATTTTAATTATTTCAGTTATTATTTTAATAATATTATTATATTATATATCATAATTATATTATATATTATATAATAATATTTTTTATTATATTAAATATAATAATAAATATATATTATATTTTACTTATATATATATATAATATTATATTATATTATAATATAGCTGTAATTTTTAACTATTCACAACAATTCAACTTCATAATTTACCAAATGCTATTATGTTGATTTTAAAACAAGCACAGCTACTATAATTATAGTTTACCAAACACTCAGTTGCTTTTTGTAATAGTTGCTTTTTCATTCAGCACAGTTAAAAGTAATTTTTTCAAAATCTACAGCACTACCAAACTAAGCCAATGACGAATCTAGAAATTTATTTTATTGGGGGCACTTAAACAAGATAATTCTTTTGAATTAGATACTTAACTATACAATAAAACTCTAACATCACCTCCTAATACAATACTTTTTTTGAGTTAAACACTAATAGAATAAAAAAACTAGCTAGTACCATAATTAAATAAAATTAAGCATACAATAAAAGTAAAACAAGAAAACTCTAGTATTTCGTACTATTATTACCTTCAATACTCTAAAACTAAAATATCTTATAAAAGATCATAATATACTCATGTATTCATTTCCTATATGCTCAAAAAATGTTTCATATCAATTGAATTTCTATTTATTAAAGGAGAGTACAAGTTTTTACAAATATATATATATATATATATGAGCACACATGGAGAAACAAAAAAAAGGAATAATGAAATTTAAAGTTAAAAAATTAAGAATTTATAAAATATATAATCATAATATAAAACAATGAAAATTAAGGGGAATAAGGCGGAGCAATGTATGGAAATTCTCAACAAAATAAATAAATAAATAAAAGTAACATTTATATTTTACGAAAGGTAAGTGGGGACATCTAAGATGTAATAGAGTGAGATTTTATAAACAGGTGGCTTATTTTGTAAATCTCAAAAAAGTGAGTGGGGCCATGTGCCCTCAATGGACCCTACATAGGTCCGTCACTGCAAGGTGATCAACGGGAAAGGACCTCTTGTAGGGCTTGATCGGAAGCTGGCCGGGCATGGCTTCTGGCAGGGACTATTTTTTTTTTTTTTTGTTCTGATGTGGGGACTACATTAGAATTTAGTACTATATAGCCAGTGCTCCGTCAATGGCTGTTTAATTAGGATAATCTATATTTTTTAATTTTTTTGTTGGGGTTTTGCTTAAATTGTAGGTTAATGTTTTAATTACTGCTAATTAATTAGTCATGTCAGACAGGTCTACGATACATATATACAACTAATTATCAGGTGAAAGTTTTGTGCTTTTAAAATCTCTAGGACTACTAGATGAATATAGCTACCTATTGTTACAAGAGTGGTATTTTTAACTTCTCTCTATCTCTTTCTTTCATGGAATATGTGAGTATAAATAATTAGCATTTGAAGTACAGTAGGATTTGATGAACTATATATTGACACGTAGCTATTAGGTTCACACCATGCATGAACTTGGTACGTCAACATTAATATTAAACAGTTAATAGATCTTCTGCGAATGAAGATTTTGTTAACAATTACATGGATGGGATGAGAACCCAACAGAAAATTATTGACATTTATATGAAGACCAACACCCCTACGCGTTCTAAAATTCTTGGACAGTATGTTCATCTTCTTGGTTTTTTTTTTTTCCCCTTAATTAAGTAATATACTATACACTTTATTTCCAGCACAATAATAAAAATAATGTAACAATAATACGATAGGCATGCTTGAACTAGGATTTTTGCAGAGGAATTTTTTTGTTCTTTTTCGACAGGGAGAGATAATTAATATGATATACTTGATTTATTCAACTTTTCCCGGTAAAGAATTTTTTTATTTTAAAAAAAAAAAAAGTTCTAATAGAAGTCGTATTATACAAAGTTGTGAAGTCCCGAGTCATAGACAAATTCGACAATCCTCTAAAAACTTATATATATATATAAGGCCCTCATTCCTTCCAATAACACCAATCAATCTTCTATCTGTGGTTTTCTAGTATAGTTTGTGCTACAGATACGAAAAAAGAAAGAAAACAATAAGCCATGGAGGGCAAAATAATTACCACCGTATTCGTCGCCATCTTCTTCTCTTTTGCTTTCATAACAGCTTGTGCACGTCCAGCTCCAACCACCACCGCAGCATCCAACCAATCTCCACCATTTCCCGCCGTCTTTGCCTTCGGTGATTCGACCATCGACTCGGGCAACAACAACGGTCTCATGACAATCTTCCGTGGGGACCACCCTCCCTATGGCGAAGACTTCCCCGGCCACATTCCCACAGGTAGGTTTTCCAACGGGAAGCTCGCAACCGACTTCTTGGTCGCCAGCCTCGGCATCAAGCATGCCTTGCCGGCCTACCTAAGCCCGTCTCTGACAGAGCAGGACTTGGCCACCGGCGTCAGCTTCGCCTCGGGGGGTTCGGGCTTAGACGACGCCACCACAGCCTTAACTGGGGTTATAGACATGCCCAGACAGTTGCAATACTTCGATGAGGCCATGTACAGACTGGAGGGAAATATTGGAAGAAACGCAACCCAGGAATTGGTTAGGAATTCTATATTCGTTATTAGTGTTGGGACTAATGATGTTGTGTTTAATCTCTATAGAACGCCGAACTTTCAGCACACTCCTTCTAGCTACCAAGATTTTCTTCTCCAAAGGATTCAGGCTTTCATTCAGGTATATTATATATATATATATATAATATTTTTAATATATATTATCTTATGTTTCTCTCCTTATAGTAATATGAAGAAAAGTATACTGCATATATAACGATTAGCCATGCATTTTACCTTTTGAATCAGCCAATTATAAATTGACTCTTGAAAGTAGTCCTGGTTTTGATTCGCAAAATTAGTGGGTTCTCCTACAATAAATTCTGTTTATATACCCAATTTTTCCTTCCGAAATTATAACATTATTATTATTATTATTATTTTGCTTTCAATTGCTCCTTTTCTTATCTTTTAATACATAGCATTAGGTTTTTGTGAAACCTAGCTAGTGGTACTGTACTTTTAATTTCTGTGCGGTCTTATTAGTCTTGACTAATTATTTGTGCCCTAAAAGGAGATCTTTTAGTACTAATTGATAGTACTAATTAAGCTATTATAAATCTTTCGTGTAATTTAATTAATTAATTAATTAATTATTTTTCTTTGTTTTATAATTGCTTTTTGCAGGCTCTATATGAGCAAGGAGCTCGCAAGTTTGGCGTGGCAGGTCTACCACCAGTAGGGTGCCTGCCGCTTCAAGTGACCGTAGGCAGCTTTATGCCAAGTCCACATATGCTCCAGCGCCTTTGCGTCACCGAACAAAACATTGACTCTCAAACTTACAACTCTAAGCTTCAACAACTTCTATTTAGCCTCCAATCCTCCTTGCTTGATTCTGCAATCCTATACTTTGACATCTGCCGTTCCATGATGGACATGATCACTAACCCTACTAAATATGGTAATGTGCATTATATATAAGAAAGATATTTTTTAAAAACTTATTTTGCTTTAATTTCAGTTTTGATATTTTGCAAAGTACTTAATTTTTTTTTATTGTTTTTATTGAAGGATTTCAAAACACTCTTCAAGGATGTTGTGGGACGGGTATAATGGAGATGGGTCCTCTATGCGTTGCGGGTTTGCCAATGTGTCCTGATGCATCTCAACTCATTTTTTGGGACTCCATGCACCCTTCACAAGCTGCGTACAAGGCCATTGCTGACCAGTTTTTGCAAACTGTGCGCCAGCTTCATTAATAAGCCATTAAGTTTATAGAGTACGTGAATACTGATTGTGTTTATTAAGAGGGAAAGTAGTAGATATTTTTATTATATTTTTTATAGTTTTTAATCTTAGGTTTTTCTTTTATTAAACTATTACTATTGAACTTGATTAGATGGATAATATACATGTACAAAGTTTCAGATAATAGTTTTCCTTCATTTATATACTATTTTCCGTTTTCTCTCTCTCTTTGCATATTGTTAAATGCGTACGATAATTGAGTTTGGAAATATGATCGACTCGGAGCTTCTCTAATATAGATGGATAATATATATGTACAAAGTTCAAATTTTGAATGTTAAACTTTTCAAAAAAAAAAAAAAGAATGATAACAATCGAGAATGTTGAAAATATACATGCATGCACAAACCAATTAATTATACCAGTTGGCTGTTTTTCTTACACATTGATTAGTTTGACTAAGTTTAATCTGTTAATACCAACTAACTTTAAGTCTGTAATTAATATCCAAAGTCCAAACTGACATGTAGCTTTGAATTGGAAAACCTTTGTCGTTGTATTATGCAACTTGTTTTGGAGTTTACGATTATATTTAAGACATTTAATAGTGTATCAAATCAAGTTTAATTTTTTTCTCTAAAATTAAAAGCAACAATTACAGCGTAATCCTTTTCATCTTATAATTATTTGTCCTAATTGAAAGACTTATGTAGTACAGTCAGACAAAGTTGGCATATTTTTTATTCTCAAATAAAAACAAAGACAAACTTTCAAAAAAGTATATTTTTCTTTCTCCAGCAAAGCATATATATAATTTGTTATTGTTTTTCTATTTGTTGTACTACAATCAATCTAACATTGAAATTTCTTAGGTTTTTAACAGATACAAGAAAGACTAAGAACTTTTTTTTTTTTTTTTTTTTTTTTTTTTTTTGCTGAGAAGAAAGACTACGAATTAGATACTACTTTCAACCTTTTTCTTTCTCCTTATCCATTTAAAAAAAAAAAGCGAGATATTACTTTCAACGACCACTACAAGAATAATTACTTTAAGAGGCTAAATTTTTTGATTCCAAACTTGTATAGGTGTAACGAGAGACATATTCATGTTATATATATGATATTATTAATTAAGTATATGTTTTAGATAAAGTAATATATAGTCTTGTTATTTGATTGCTTTTTAACATAGAATAATGTATTTTAATTTTAAAACTATATTTTTATAATAATATTACTAAAACAACGAATTTAAAATAATTTTTATCATCAAAATGCATTTTTTAATTTTTAATATATCTCTTTCTACTATTAAATTAAAATTTAGTGGTAAAAAATATACTTTTAGTTACTAGATCCCGTTCACTTCGCTGATTTGAGTTTAGAATTTGAGTTGAGATGTGACTTTATGTGAGAGTTTTTTACTGTAGTAAAAAAGTTAGATGTGATTGTTTGTGAGAACTTTTTACTGTAGAAAAACTCAAATTCTAAACTTGAATATGTGAAGTGAACAGGGAAATATTGTTTAGTAACTAACAACGTAAATATTTACTACCAAATATTTGATAACAAAAAAAAAACAAAATTTTGTGGGAAAAACCTTCTAATATACACTCCCTAAAAATTCAAAACACACCCACAGCCTGTTCTCTTTCTCCAGCTTTTCTTTTCCTTCTTCCGCTATTCTCTTCTTCTTCTTCTTCGTCTTCTTCTTTCGATCTGCAACGATCCGTGGAGCTCCTCGTTGGAGTTTAACTCGGCCGGCGTCGGAGATTCACCCGCCATTGGGGTCAAACCCAAGATAGGCGAACAGGTGTTCGCGGTGGCGGCTAGGTCGAGACGAGGAGAGAGAACTGGTGCCCGCCGGTGGCTGCGACGTCGAGGCTAGGCTCGCCGGAGAGAGAGAGGAGAGAGAGGATGGGCTGGGTTAGATCGGCGAGGAGGCGAAGAGAGTAGTGAGTTTCCAGAACATGTCGAAGGAAAGGGGCGGCGTGGGTCGCGATGAGGTTTGTCACGCGGGGGCTGAGAGGAAGCGTGCCCGCCGGTGGCTGCGACGTCGAGGCTAGGCTCGTCAGAGAGAGAAAGCAATGGTAAGCATTTTCAGTTTTTTCTCTATTTTTTTGGAGATTTTTTCTGGTTTGATTAAAGATTGATGCTTTTTTAGTTAATTGACATAGAGGAAGCGACTTTTGTTCATTCTCTATATTATATGCTTAGTATAATTGTGTTCTTCTGGAAATCAGTTGAGCAAGTTAAAGGGAAAGTTCTAATTAAGCAAGTATGACGCTTCTGAGATCCTAAAACAGGATGTTGTCTTTGACTAGGTTCCTAACAGTCTGAAACTGAGCACTGAATTTCCTTGATTTGTCTCCGTGGAAACAGTTTTTGACATATTTTTTGGTTTTGAATCTCAACGACACTTCTTCGTTTCTTAGGAGGAAAATAAAAATTGAAAAAGAAAACCTCAATGGATTTCTGGTTTACTTTGTACAGGGTTCATAAGCAAAGGAATTTATAACTAAAGAAACTTTGAAAGGAAAAAGCTACTTTTGTATTCTATATTATACGTAAAGGTAATATACTTGTCTGCTATATACATTTACAGAGAGACTACTCTAGGAATGTCTATTTATGCTATTCTGAGTAAGAAAAGACAAATCAAACTATTCTAGGAAACTATCAACTATTTTGGGTTATTATCTTTTATAATCATGCTGCATATATTGTAGAATTGAGGTCAACTCATTGATCCTCAAATCCCCCTTGTATCCAGGCTGGACAGCTCACGCTAACAAGAACTTCCTTCAAGATCATGTGATGATGTCTTCAATAAGCTTTTGCAGGGCGGGCTTCCCCCAGAGGAGCTTTATAACGCTGTTTGCAAACAGATGTACAGATCATTATATGTTTCCAGATTCCAGTTTTGTATATGGTTCTTTGCATATTATACCAGGAAAGAAAGAGATTCTTGAACTCATTATATCAAATTGAGGTTATGCATTTGTATGTTTCCTTCGCTTCTTCAGCTACTCATAGAATATCATATATATTTGGGTTGGTGCTGATGAGTTGTTCAGGCTTCCTTCGCTTCCTTCGCTTCTTGAGTAGAGTCTTCATTCGGATACTCCACTAGCATAATATTAGCAACAATATTAACTACCCAATTGACTAAACAAACTCAAAAAATTACGGACACTACTAACAACCTGAAGAGAACGAGTTAGACTTTGAATCATTCTTCAACAGAAGGTATTGAAACATTATGTCACTTTATGTGTTGAACTCTTTGTTTAGATGTACTGCAGTTCAATGCCATTTTGTTAGAGCAGGATCTTACGATACAGAATGACAAGTAAAATGAACAACTTGACTGTATTATGAGACATTTGTTTGAGAATGTGGTTTTGGATATGCAAATTGAACTAATATGTGTGGTTTTAGATTTTTTGGGTTAGTTGAAATTGTAGGGGAGATGATGTCAAAATTTCTATTATATTTTAATGCATTTAAATGTCTCTTTTTCCGGAAGGGTACTTTGAGGTCTTCAAGAATACTCATTAGAGCGAGTCATGGGGATGGACAACTTAGAGAGCAAAGAAAGATTATGTAAGAACTTTATCATTTCGTTTGATTTTTTATTCCTTTTTTTTTACTCTAACTCGAAAGTTTATAACACTTCGCCTAATGCAGAAACAAATGATCAAGATCCGCGATGCTTGTTTAAGTGAAGTACTAGAGGGGTTAGAACTTGACTCTGATGTAGAGGAAGAAATTTACTCTCAAGTTTTGTCAAGTGAGAGGTATGAAAAATATGATTTCAAGCGTAGCATAGGTCATATACTAAGAAAAGCACCACAAGCTCACAAATCTAGAGGGTCAAGATATGAAAAGCTTGAAAATGAAGTTCAGGAAAACAAACGTCGTATATCGGATATGGAAATTCTAATGAAGCAACAATAGGAGCTTATTCAAAAGCTACTTCAACAGATAAATCCGTCATCAGATCATCTTGGACCTTCCATCCCAAGAAGAGAAGATCCTCCACCACCGCCACCATTGGCCTTAGTTTGTTAGAGCGTTTAATTTTTGTAATATTAAGATTTTACTAGTACAATATTTGTATAAGTGTTTGGGTTTGCTTAAGTATGACTATTTTAGTATTTTGTTTGGATTCTATTATGTATTGAAATATGTAGAGATTTTTAATTGGTAGCAACAAATTAGTTATTTGCTACTAAATATTTGGTACATGATTCTTGTTCTTTTTGTTACTAAATACATTTTGCCACTAAAATTTTGGTCTTTAAATCTCATATTTTTCACTACCAAATACCTTTTGTTACCGAATATTTAGTCCATAAATCTCATATATTTCGCTATCAAATACAATTTAATATCAAATATTTAGTCCCTAAATATCATGGCTTTTGCTACCAAATACCTTTTGTTTCTAAATATTTGGTAACTGGATCGCGTACTTTTTGCTATCAAATATATTTTTTGTTACCAAAATTTTAGGGTCCTAAAACTCACAATTTTTGCTACTAAAAGCTTTTTGTTACCCGAAATGTTTAGTTCCCGAATATCATATATTCTGCTACTAAATATATTTTGTTACCAAAAAAATTTTTGGTAGCAAAAACTATTTGCTACTAAAATTTTGATAACTAATACTTTCTGCTACTAAAATTTGTTGGTAACAAAAATATTTTACTACTAAAATCAAGGCTTTTGGTTACCAAATTTTTGATAACAAAAAATTCAAATTCTTGCAGTGAACTAACATTAGATTAAAACGTGGTGTTACATTTGGCTCATAGAATAATCACAGCTCAAAATTGAAGTGAAACAAAGATAACATTTATAATCCAATTGAACTATTAACCATGAGAATCTTCATGCTTTACAATTACATCCCTATATACGATGTAATAATCAAACCTCTCTACCATATCATCTATACCATGTTTGTCTGCTTTGAAACTGAAATCTCAAACGCAAGTGGAAATCCCCCCTTTCAGTTTGAGAAGAGCCTGGTGAAAAAGTTTCCTGATTTTGACTTTTCCAAACAGGCCACATGCACGTATCTGCCAAACTTATCAACTTGCCTTGCCTCTCCCCTCGTGTCTTTCTTGCACACTTTACACGTCTTGTCCACCCAGCCTTCTTCCACATATTGCCCTTCCACTAGTTTCAAGTAAATAACAAAAGGGAATATAAATTAGCTTTGGCTATATAAGATTAACACAATGTAAAAACTTCATCAAATTTTAAATTAGTTTTGCAATAAATTCCTTTTGTTGTCAATTTGTTATGTTCATAGTTAGTTATAAGCACATAACATAATGTCGTTTTAAGATAACATAAAAGAACTGTACATACCATCAACATAGGATTTAAAGAAATCTTGGTATGTTCCTCCAATTTTCCTTCTGAGAGCCCCATACTGCCAATAAATAAATAAATAAAAATTACACCACATGACAAATTCATGAAAGTGAAATTGAAATATATACAGCACTTTTAAAAAAAAAAATGTTTCAAGAATAACAAAATTAAAGGGTAATTATTATAGTGATATTCATGTTTATATTACAAATTAATTACGAAGCAACTTATTGAATAATGTTAATTATTGATATTTATAAACATTCTAAATTTTTTGTTGTATTTGATCACAACTAATAAAATATTTTTATATGTCAAAATTTTCCCAAATAAATAAATTAACTAATTATAAATTTGAAAGCAAAAGATCTCATTATTTATACCTGTTGTCTAGTCATCTTTTCTCCAGACCTGGTGGCTTGTCTAGCCTCTTCAAGAAGCTCAGCATCCTCCGCAGACCTAACTTGAGAGAAATCAAGTGCTTCTGTGACACTGCTAAATAGCGATTGTTTTTTCTTTTGGCTTTCTTCTTCCTTCTTGGCCAAAACCCTAAATTTGGAGCTTTTGTTGTCAGCTAAATGGTTTGAAGAGATTTGGGTTAAGCCTAAATTTGAAAGGAAATTGGTTCTTGGAGGTGTCAAAGGCAGAGTTCTTAACCCCATTTTTTTGTTTTTTTTTTTTTTTTAAGTTGAGCCTAAGATTCTCAGCGCATCAATTGAAGTTAAGTTACTCCCTTTTATTATGGTTTGTGATGATTTTTTGTTTTGTCTAGTTGGACCTCTACATTACTGCCACGTGGAAGGGAATGTGGACGTGGCTGTCTTTCGCCTGTAGAACCTGGTGGTTAGAAGGAGACTACGTGGCCCTTACCCAACTAAGGAATTTAGTGACGGAGTGTGGTTTGCGGGTGTGGGTTTTTTTTTTTTTTTTTTTTTTTTTTTTTTTTTTTTTTTAATATTATTTTATCATGGTTTTAGAATGGAAGTATCCGACTTCATTGACTAATTATCATTTACAATATGAGATGCAACACATACCACTAATAGGTTGGTGGTAAGACTATTACTTTACTCTAAAAATGCGTTTCTCCTATTTTCGAATCCTTACATGACCAATGTATTGTGTAGTCTTAAAATTAGCTTCATTTTTCGAGTATAATTGGAGTCAAGTCACTTCCGATTCATTAGTGCGTCTCAAGGCTTTCATTATGACGAAGGAATAAATAGGAACGACACCTATTATCTTCTTTTTTTCAGAGAAAAAAAAATATAAAGATACAAGGATCTGAGAAATCTTCCCCAACAATTGGGAGTGTCTGGTGCGGGAAAAAAATAAAAAAATAAATAAAAAACCCCAATAGAATTGAAGTTAATAACTAGTTAAAACCCAATATTTTAATTTGGGTTATTGTATCATTTTCCACTTTGAAAAGCATTACTTGTACTAACTAATAACTACCATACACTTCCTCTTTTGTTTAAAAAAACAAAAAAAAAAATTAAAAATCACACTTTCTTTTCTTAATTGATTCTCAATGTCGTATTGAGCACATGATGCCAAGAACGCGTTTAGCTAAAATTTTAAAAATAAAAAATATATAATAAAACTATAAACTTATTTAAAAAAAAAAAAATAGTTGCATTCTGATGTTGACGAGGTAACCGTTTTATGAATGATATTTCTATGGACTAAAACCCATAATAGCTTTAATTACATTGCATTTACTTAAACTACTATTAATACTGCATAACATGATATAATAGTGATACTTTGTCACTGCTGACACACAAGTTTTTCTTTCTTTCCTTCTTTTTTATCTCTCTCTCTCTTCTTTTTTAACTGTAGATCCAAAAATCATAGTTAAGATGGAATTTTTCTTAAGCTCCTTTTTTTCTCTGGCTTGGAATTGCTATTTAAGATTAGAATTACTCCTATTAAGAACCTCCTAAATCTGCGCAATCACTCACAATATTTCCTTGGCAGACCTCTCTTCAGTTCCTCTATAGAAAATAACCAAAAAGAAAAAAAGGGGTAATTACATATGTGGCCTCACACAACATAAACCATGCCGACCTCAAGCAGGGACACCGGTGGAACCTTGAGCGCCACATCTGGGCCCCGACAATTCCTCCTCAGGAAATTGTACCCAAAGTTTATGGCCAATCTCTTGAACACTGATGACCCTTGCTTTGCCTGCACATGCGAGTGTCCCAGAATGAATGCAGTACCAGCCTGTTGAGCTTGGTACAGTTCTTCCAGCTCTTCTTGCAACTGCATTTGCATCTCAACCCTCGAATTGTCGGTTTCTGACTCCTCATCGATGGCGAACCTCACTCTCTTCCCAATGGCACCACCAACCGGTTCCATCTCAATAAAGTCTGTTACACTCTCGACGGTTGGAAAATCGACTGAGACGCTTTCTGGCTGCACAGACTCCTCAATCTCATAAGCTGGTGCTCCGGAGAATGCCACTGTCCCTATCACAGCTAATCTGCACTCGCTTGACTCGTTAGATCGCGGTACATGATCATCCTCAATGTACGAGTTAGCCCCATGTGCTCTGCACCAATCGTACCGGATGAAATCAACCAGCCTGTCGACAAGCTCTGACTCAAAGGAGTCAACATCTTGATGAACGTCGCGGTATCCGTACCGGACAATGCACCTGTAAGATCGATGAGCTTCAGGGCCAACACGGCCCACAAGGTATCTCTCAGCAGGAGGCACGAAGGGGACAGGTACCGACTTCACACACACGAAAACAAGGATGCGGTGGAAGGCAGGGAGGTTGGTCACAAAGCGTGAGAAGTTGGCCGGGATACCAGAAGTGAGATCCGTGAAGACTAGGCCAATTCCAGGGACTCTAGCAATTCCAAGGCTCGGACCTAAGGCTAGCAGCCATTCTAGAGAAACCTTGTTGTGGAGGTCATATTCGTACTTCTTGATGGTGGCGTAGTGCCAAACAAACATGATGGTCATGAGGATAAGGGCCAGAAGGATGGGGAGCCAGGCACCTTCGGTGAACTTGGTGAGTGAAGCTGAGAAGTAGAGCAATTCAATAGAGCCAAAGAAGAGCAGAAATAAAAGAGCTATTATAGGGGGTTTATTCCAGCAAATGATAATCACCAAAGAAGTGAGGCATGTTGTAACTAACATAACTGTCATCACTGCTAGACCTGCAAAAGATGATGATAATATTTCAGTAGTTAAAGCAATCTGTAACGTACTCGATTTCGAATTTGAAAACCAAAATCCAAAAACTGCAGCTCGAGTAATACTGTCATAATCCCTTCTCGGGAGGAAGGTGAAGTTTGAACAGCTTTACAAGTTACCTGATGCATTTCCCATGTGTTTTGTGTCTCTAAATCCGATGGTCACAGCAATGCAGAGGATCATGAGAATCCAATTGATCTCGGGAATATAAATCTGGCCATGTATCTTGTCAGAAGTGTGAACGACCTTGACTCTTGGGAAGCAACCAAGTGACTGGCTCTGGTTTATGATAGAAAATGTTCCACTGATGATTGCCTGGCTTCCCACAACAGATGCAAGAATTGCTATGACAAGCACCGGCCACCTTACGCATTCTGCATATAAAAAATTCTTAAGCATCAATCTTCTTTAAGTTCTACCATTCAACCACGCACATCAACAACTCAAAGTAGAATTATCCCGGTAGAATGAGTCATCAATATACAAAGAAACTTGCAGAACTCCAATAGATTAAACATAATGTTTATGCTTAAAAAGTCCAAATAGGGCGCCGCATACCTGGAACTGATATATAAAAACTGATATGGTGACTGGAGTGGTGATGATGTGACAAGTAAGCAGCTTGGCCCATGTACGCCAATATAAGTGCTGGATAAACGAGAAAGGTGAAAGCAATCTGTAGTAGGAAAGGGCATTAGAAGTTGGAACTCTCTTGTTAGTAGGAAAATTAGACCTCTGACATACAGAAGACACTATCTTTAAACCAAATTATGTTCTAATTATAAGAATAACAACAACAGAAATGTAAGAATCACCTGAATGGCAGTATATGAGAAGTGTCCAAGATCAGCAAACATTGCTTCTGAACCTGCATTTTCACAGACACATTCATTATGCACATCATGCACAATTCCTGGTCAAATTCCTAGTATATATTGGAAAGCAATATTGGTAATCACATATGCTAAAAGAAACGACACAAAACATGCATGAGGTTATAAGATATATTTCGGCCCGATTTTTACCCGTTATGCATAATAATATTCCACCTAAAGACATCCATCCACTTATCCTTGTCTTCTTCAAGAATTTGAACATATAGTATGGAGAAAGAGCTTGATAAACATGCGGATTCCAGTGGATTATATTATACAAGCCAAGGGCACTGTTGCATAAAAGCCATGTCAACACAATCGGAGCAAAGAAGAATCCAACTCGATGTGTGCCGTAGTGTTGAAGTGCAAACAGGCACACTAATATGAAGCAGGTAATTGGAATCACGGCATCTGCAATTGAGAAAAGACTAAATGTAAGAGCACGGAATTGACGAGTTAAAACTGCAACTATTGCCATATTTTCAATTAATTGACAGTCCTATGCAATACACAAAATATTAAAAAATTATATTCTTAACAACACATAATGATAGCAAAAATAACTGCAGAATGGAAGACTTCAGATTCTTTTAAACAGAAAAAATTGCACGTAGAATTCCTTTCTCCCTCGGGGTTTGAGTTTAATCTCAAGTAAAAAACTTGGTTACAAGATGGCGCAGAAAAAATAGTATTCTTGCGTTAGCACCTTGAAGTATCTTTCAGATCTTTGGTCTTCATTTAACTGTCCACAGGGTTCAGTTTGACCGATAATAGCAAATTCAGATATGAAACAGAGCAGAAGCTGAGAAGCTTACACTGGTGGTGCTCCTTGGACATGGATAACTCAAGCCCAGATACTGCAGAAAAAACTACAGAAGAAGGTACACACATAGTCAGTTCAACAAATACTATATATATATATATATATATCAGAATTTGCTAACAAAAAATTAATTACTAGCAAGAAATCTACCGGAAATAGCTGGAGTGAGCAGCCCATCCCCAATTACCATACAAGTACCAAGAAGGACCAGAACCAACAAAGCTGTATGCAAGGCCTTGTACTTCTCAAGAATGAGTTTCACCTTTGAAGTGATTTTCTTCTCTGGTGGGTGTTCCAATTTATATGTAGAGAGTGATTCATCAGCAACTTGTCTGTTGGGCAAAAGGCTCACTTTTGCATGCCTACATATTAGAGAATACAGTGCAAAAGTACCACCTGAAGAAAACACAAACGAGAGTTTACAACAAACTTTAAAACCAGAAGACCCCCTCAAGAAAAAGGACTAAAATTTGTTCTACTACTACCCACTTACCCTCTCCATTGTCATCAGCTCGAAGGACCACAAAGACATACTTGAAAAGAGGGACTAAAGTAAGAGTCCAGAAGACAAAAGAAAGAACCCCATAAATCTCTTCATTGGTTTCTGAATGTGTTATGTCTTCCGCAAATGTGCTCTTGTAAACATAAAGAGGAGAAATGCTCAGGTCTCCATAAACCACACCAAGGCTTTGGTATGCCAAGAGAAGGATGTTCTTCCATGATTCCTGAAATGAAGTTGAATTCACCAAGCAAGTTTTTCGATAACCCAGTTGAGTTCCACAATCAAAAAATGAATAATCATTCACAAACTTTGAGATCCATGTAAGTGAATTTCACAAACCTTTGGAGTGTTCCAACACTTTCCATGGCTAAGATCCATTTGTCATCAAACCTTCCAATCTTCAGACTTCGGATTTCATCTGTGGAGGGCAGTTAACTTTGCAGATCTGCATTGAGATAAGAGTTTTAAGTTTCTTCTATTGGTAAGCTCAAACAGAATACTAGATTTTATGAGAAACGAGCAAAGGAATTTCAATATGACACTTCCAAGAAAGCTATCCAAATTTCTCAACTTTATTCTCAGCAGATAGAGGAGACAAAGGGACACGTTCACCCCATTTTTTAAATAAACCCACATGCCATCCATACTTCTATCGCATTCACATCCCTACCATATCTTTACAGAGCTGAGCAATACATATTTTTTAGCCAAAAAAAAAAAAAAAAAAACCCCACTCTAAGCAAAGACAAGCCACAAACTGTAGTAAAATCAGAGACCAAAAAGAGAATGAAAAAAGCAACCAAAGATGAACCACAATTGGTCTAATAATTGTAGAGGACCCTCATACATTTTCTCGGTAGGTACTAGAAGTTCCTTGTCATTTACTTCTTCTCTTCTGATTTTTTTTTTCCTTTTCTTTTATGTAGTTTGGTAAAATAGTGATAAACAGATACTTGTGGTAAAATAGTGATAAACAGATACTTGGGTAGGATGAAATGGGAAAAAGGAAAAGGAAAAAATGAATTTTTTTTTATTGTGACACTCCTCAATCATGCATATGCTAGAAAGTGTGAACTGAGAAAAGATTCAACGTTACAAAAAAACAAAAAACTGGAGAGCTTTAATAATAATGGTGGTGAGAATTGTGATGTCAGCCAAAAGGCGCAATCACGTGATCAAACGACAGTTACAGAATTATGCACAGTAGATGTAGCCCGCACCCAAACAAAGCCGGTACGCAAATAAAGCTGATTCACAGAGACCATTTTTCATCACATCATACACCCACTTCTTTTTCTTTTTCTTTTTCTTTTTTTTTTTCCCTAGTCTCAATCTTATGATTATTTATGAAGTATTACGTTCATTTATGCATTAAAACTCAAAACCCATCTGATTTTCCATATCCTCACCTAACTTATTTGAAACCCATTTAATTTAATTCAATTCTCTTGCTTTCTAATCTATCTATATTTGGAAATTATGGTTTTCAAGAAGAAAAAAAAAAAAAAGCAAAGGAAAAAAAAAGGGCAAAACGTTGTTGTCATAGATTGTAAACTGAGTCAAGTAAGTGGGAGAAGAGCTAATTTTTTAGAATTGAGTGATATAACATTTTTGCACGCGAATAACGACTCTTTTTATTTTTTATTCTTTTAATCTTTTTGGAATTGGGTACCAATACAATGTCATTAATTAAGGCTACCTTTTTCCATGTGAAGCAAAATGGGTCGGTCTAAAATCTAATATGCTATTAAAACTTTTTCATATTCTCCCAAGTACGTGCCATTAAAAAAAAAAAAATAAGCTCATTAATTTCATCAGTTACCTTTTTTTCTGCTAAAAAGTCCCACTCCCAGTGAAAGAATCCTAAGAAAAAAGAAAAACCTTTTTATCTTCACTACCCATTATTCAACTACATCCTTTATAACCTTTACAAACAAAATTTCTAAAAGAACTCCAACTTTACGCAACAAAATTAGAAAAACAAAAACAAAAGCGTACCTGAAAACTATTGTGAAGAACTGTATGAGAATGCTGAAAATTTTTATGGATCTAAAATGGGAAACGAAAGAGTGCAAAATAGAGTGGGGAGAGAGCGGCGATTTTGGCAAGACATTTTAAGAAGGTTCTGTGAACCAACCGACAATGGCGAATGTGGGCAGCGAAAAAGGGGAAAAAAGAAAAGAAAAAAAAAGAATAATTTTTTATTTTTTCATTTTTGGTTAAAAAAGAAGGGACGAAATGGAAAGAGAACGTGGGCAAGCCTTGTCTCGTGATTTTGATTCGGTGAAGATTGCGAGGAGGATGATAAGTTAGTATGTTTATAAATTTAAAATTATTTTTATTTATGTGTATTTTTTATAAAAAAATAATATTATAATAAATTATGAGTTATGATTTGAATTATGATATAAATTCTTATTCTATTTCTTATCCTACTATAATTTTACACATGAGCAGGAATATACAAGTGGCACTGATCTCAAAGAAAAAAAAATATATAAAAAAAATACTAAAAACATGAAAAGCATTACCTTGTTTTAGGAGGAATGTTTTTTTTTTTTTTTTATTTCAGTTATACACTAATTTTGAATGGTCAAATTTTTGTTACTCGTTGTGAGTGTGACGTAATTTTAATAACTATATCACAACTATATTATACTAACATAAGTTCCCATGCATTGTCAAAGTAAGATAAAATAACAATGCCAATATATTGTTTTTTTTTTTTCATGAGTGGCTCATTATTTTGTTTTGCCTGGTACGTTATTGGTTAGATTGCTTTGGTTGAGATTTGAATTCTAGTAATAGGAGCACAAATGAACTCTAGCATTCTACACGTCCAAACAATCTTTTACTTTTAGTATTGAGAGTGTAAAACTATGCACATCCATATGATAACGCTCAACTTACATTTTAAGTATGATCCATTATTTTTATTTTTTTGTCATCTTATTAGTTGCTCAAAACTGTCTTCTTTGACTGAGGAAAAAAAAAAAAACCTTCTTTTTCACTCCTTTTTTGCTTCACGTGTTAGCCAACACATTAGTTGCAAAATCGTATTTCTCTATGCTTTTGTAGTAAAGAAAAGTATTATGTTGACAATTTTTGTTTTTTAAAGGAAGCTTCTCCTGCTGGGTTTGAAAAATTAAATTACTGAAAAAGTATTATTTTCAATCATTAAATATGTACTAAAAATTATATATTTTGTATACTTTATTAATTTGACGTGATTTTAATAAAATTTAATATTAAAAACTAACTCTATCCGTAGTAAGTATCTACCAGAAAAACTATGAAAAAAAATAAAGAAAAAGAAGGAAGTTTTTGCCGGTTTTAGAATGCAAATGTAATCCCTAATCACCAAAGATTTTTTTTTTTTTTTTTTTTTTTTTTTTTTTTGGG